TACCTTCCACATTACGCACAGTTTCTAAAATGCACAGTTCTCGAAAAATTTTGGGGTTTCCATACTTTTTCCTCACCCTGTACAGGGCGTCCCAGGAGGAAAGGTGAATATTCTGGGAGGTGATAGTATCGGTCAGTTTAAGCAAAAATGTTGATACGAATATATGTCGCGCTCTCCACTGTTTCCGAGATAGAAGCTAACTTGAATGTCTCGTACATTTACTTTTTTTCTGTACACTTCACCCTTCATCCTCATAAACGCCCGCGGGAATTTACTCCTGTACGTCTGTTGACTGTTGTGCCGATAACATTGTAGAAATGTTCAAAATGCCTCGCGTATTCACAAATGTCGAATATGCAGATATGCTGTACGTTTACGGTTTCTGTGATGGTAGTGCTACCGCTGCTGTTGAAGAATACCGTCGACGCTCTCCTACACGCCGAATTCCGAATCGTGAACAATAAATATTAGAAGTGGTGCGTCGTATTTCTTTCTTGTCGGTAATTTTGCAACTGCACATTCAAATAGCTCTATCTCGGAAACAGTGGGGAATGAGACATATGTATGTTCATATGAACATTTTTGCTTAAAATGACCGATATTATCACCTCCCAAAATATTGACCTTTCTTCCTGGAACACCCTGTACATACACACACACACACACACAAACATATATATATATATATATACAGGGTGTTACTAAATTCATGTTACAACGCTTGAGGGGTGAAAGTACAAATCAAAACAAACATTTTTTACCAATGTACATGGGGGCGAAAACGAACCCCTAACCCGCTGGAACGCGCGAAAAGTTCAGGGTAGGCAACCCGTTGTGCACATCTTTTACTACGCTGGCCGCTACGTTTAAGAACAAATGTTGGGATTTTGTTTAAAACAACAACAGTTCAATTAAACAACAGTTTATTAACAGTTCTGTAAACCGATAACACATTTTAGAGCAAGGGCTCGAAATGACGACCACCTTGATCGACGCACAAGTGGCAACGGCGAATCATGTTTTCTTTTATCCTTTGCAACTTGCCTGGGGAAGCTCGTATCTCATCAAACGCTTGGATAATGCTTTCGGTGAGCTCTTCAACGGTTTGCACTGGCCGTAAACCACGTTTAGGAGTCAACGGGTTGCCTACCCTGAACTCATCGCGCGTTCCAAGGTTAGGGGTTCGTTTCCGCCCCCATGTGTATTGGTAAAAAAATGTTTGTTTTGATTTGTACTTTCACCCCTCAAGCGTTGTAACATGAATTTAGTAACACCCTGTATATATACATTCGAGAATAGGGATCCGTTGAACAATCTGCACGGCGAAGCGTGCCGTAAAATGAAACTCAGACGAGTGCAGGGCGACGCGAGAGAGTGTGCCGGGGCGAGCACGGTGGATAATCAATAGATAGCGGGAGATTCGATTAAATAACCGATAAAGCGCAACCGGTTCGAAATATCCCCGAAGTGGTTTCGATCAAGGGCGGGAAAGAAAAAGGAGGGACGGAAAAAGGATGAGAATGGTAGACTTGGCGCGAGGTAAAGGTTGCTCGGGAAAGTGTCCCCGAAGGTTCCTCCCGAGCGAGCCGCGATCAGGCGATGCAACCACGTGGCACAACCGTTCCCTTCTCGTGTGCCACGCCGCTCTCCTCCGCGACTCCGTCAAATCTCCTCCGCGGCCTTGAACGAATCCGCGAGAAGGGCTCTCGCGGAAAGAGTTGCGCCGCGACTGCCAGTTCGCCTGCCGTCGAGCGATGCGATCGCGGAGACACGTCGCGATGGCTAATCCGGCGCGGTGGCAAGTGCCAATTAAATTGGTTCTCGTAAGGAATCCGGTAGGAAAAATAGTATCGTGTGCCGTTGGCTTAAGTCGGCCGGGGGGTCCCTTCGCGCCCCGCGAGCCATCGGGACGGACGACTCCGGGATTCTGGTCTCTCGGTCATTCTTTCTCTAAAAATCAATCAGTGAATTATTACTGAAAACAGCGAATAGTCACTGTTTTCAGCGATGATCCACTGATTGACTTTTAGAGAGCTCGTCGGCGCGAGCGAGTGCCGCGGGGATGTCTCTCGAGGTTGCTCTCGAGTGTCCTGGTGTTGCGGAGAGAATTTTCTCTTAAATTTACCCTGCAATTCGTGGGACAACGTGGTATTTTCAAGAACTTTATGCGAGTTTTCTGAAATTGTACTAGTAAAATGTACGGTAAAATTTCAAAACGCTCTCATAAAATTATTCGAAATGCCGCGTTGTCCCATGATTACATTGATTTTCAGGAAAAATTTTAAGAGAATGAGAAGGACAAAGAACTGCTTTACAAGCAAAATGTGAATTTTTCAGTAGACTTTACGTACACTTTGTTCCGAGGAGGCGGCCGCTTGAAGTTTCCATTAAAAATGATTTTTTAAACATTTGGGCTTCACGCTGGAGCGAGGACATCCACTGCTCGACTCAATTTCGGCCAAAATGTCACACGGTCCCCTTCTGTTCTCGCCGATTCAATTGTCTCCCGGATTCGACAGCGGTTCGTGAAAACGCCCCGCCGAAAGCCGCCCGCGTCCTTTCTTCCGCTCCGACAGAAGAAGGTGACGAATGAGCGAAAGTTCGCAAACGATTTCGATAACTCTTTCGGACTTGATTGCGAGCCAGGTCGATCCTGACATCACCCCGCCTGGAAGTTCGCCTACAAACTTCCGCCTCTCATTGCCGTAGTTGTTCTCCACGCGAGCGGCGTATACACAATGGCAGGCGGACGGAAGTTAAGTTATTCGAAGGACGCAACTGGGCCCGATTACAAACGCAGATCGTCGGTCTTCCACGAGATAACCGTCGCGACATCTCTCTCCTTGCCACACTTCTCCTCCCTCGTTGGACTAAACGTATTCAAGATGAACGAGGCGATCCAAAGTCCTTGCCAATTTGATTCGCGTTTCGCAAATACGATTATGGTGCGTTTTAACGCGGAGATAGCCGGTTCCAGGTCCCCTAACTGCCGCTTCGACATACCGGTTTCGCAAAAATGATCCCTCTAGACCCCTCTCGCACTTAAGGTGCGTTTAGTCGGCGATGCGTGCCGCGTGTTATTACCGCCGGCCAGATTACTTTCCTAAGCACCGCCTCTCATATCATTCTCCACTTGTTCCTCGCTCCTCTTGAACATTTCAGATTGAGGCCCGGTTGTTCCAATCTCTTGGTAAGTTAAACTAATAGTTAAATCATAGTATAACTAGAAGGTCCACTCCGTCATTTGTTTCGTTTCGCGTAGATCCCTTCTGCGCATCCGACACTTTGTTGGTCCAGCCAGTGAGAGAAAAGTTGTACGTGTGGTAGTGTAGTTCGATGAGTGCGTTTGCACAGTCTTATTCAGTTTTACTAGGAATCACATTTGCATAATCTTTATTCCCACGCAGAGAAAACGATTTCTTTGGATTTAATAAATTTTGTTGTATCCAAACGAATTTGGTATTTCGAGTCGTCCAAACAAATAATGTTTTGTATAAGCATATGTTGTTTCAATGAAACAAATCTCGATCAAATAAATAGGAATACTAAATCCAAAGAAACCTTTATCTCTGTGCATCTGTACATCGATGAGTTTCAGGCTGTAGTTCGCACAGCTTCAATAGAAGTCCGTGGTAGTACATACAGCCCGAAACTCTAAGACTTGTACAGATGAGGTAAATGATGATAAAAATGCGGGTCCAGGTATCAATGAATAAGCCTGTACGTACACACACACATACGCTGCTGAATTTGGAATTTGGACCAAAGACATGGCGGGATACCAAAGGGGCCGACAGAGAGTGGACCTACTAGTTATACTATAGTTAAATCGTATATAGGTCTTCATGTTTCCTCCAAGTTAGGTAAAGACAGACATATAATTTAACTATTAGTGATCTTACCAAGAGGATGGAAAAACCTCTTGGTCCTAAATCGTGCCGATCGAGCCGTAACACGTGACGGGAGAATTTCCCGGCCAATTGCCGCCCTTCTCGCGTTGCCTAGTCTCTGGAGCACCATTGGACTCGATCCTGCAAATGCGGAACCAACCCCAAAGCCTTACTTTTCCGCTAGAGCAAATTACACGAAATATCGGAGATAAAATTCCACGCCGGCTTATCTCATATATAACAGCCGAACTGTAATTCTCCTCAAATACAATTCCACGTTACATGTATTTTTGTTTACATTGGAATTAAAATTCTGTGCCAGTGTTATCTCAAATATAATGATCGAGCTATAATCCTCTTCAGGTACAATTCTATGTGTTGAGCGCGCGCGCGTTTATTTTTTGTACAGATAAGAATTGGATCATTTTTGCACAACCTACGTGATCGCTTTGCTACGCAGAACTAGAACTCATGACAATGGCGCTTGATTCCTTATTGCGTAACTGCATCCAATTATCAGAAATCTAATGGGAAATGTGATATTAATGAGACACGGACGCGATATTATTAATTCGTTACGAAACAATTGGATATACAATTACACAAACGTCTCTGTGTGTGCTCATCGGGACACTGATGGCTAATGATCGCTCGATATATGGTATCTCGCGAATCGTCCTCTTCTCTGTTAAATACCGGCCTATCCTCGTATTAAATTTGCGATAATAGAAAATATTTAAGAGAGGGCAATATTAGAATTTCGAAACGTGTCACGTCGAAAAGACTCTGATATTATGAACAAATGACAATTCGATTGTATGTCGACTTTTTCGTTTAATTCCATCGTATATTTTAAATTATCTCATTAGACGAATATAAAAGACGGATTTTTATTATTCGCGCAACGTTTCGGGCTTATTAGCTTGATCTAATTGTACTATATATTACGGTAAGTAAATGAACGAAAGCGTACCGGCCTTAATTCTCTCGTTAAATCTTTTCCGGTACGCAATGCTAATACGTTTGTCTTATTTGTCGCGCAGAGACGAATCAGCGTTTAATTTAATCTTCCTTCGTGACCCGACTCGGTTATCTTACCGAATGTGCATAAAAGAGAAGCGTCGATCGTCCGTCGCGACATTTGCTTCGCGGAACTGTTCGATAGTAACAAATTTAATAATGTTCAAGTATCACCTAATTGTTCTCGTTTTTTGGTGCGAAATTCGGGGATACGATGTGTTGCGCACTGAAACTGACACTGACATCGCTCTAAATCCGCCGGCCTCGTCGCTATATTCAAATAAACAAACCAGTACAGGTAAATTTAATCCCATCAAGCGAGAGAGCACAGTTACATTTTGGGTTGCAGATTATCTAGTAGACCATATTTCCTTCGCAAAAGTGTCAAAACGTAGGGGGGTGTTTTCAGAATTTACACTTTTTATCACCCCTTAACATCCCCGTTACGTTTTCCTTTTAATTTTGCGATCGCTTGGCTTCGACTCGTTGTTGGATCGTTACAGAAAAACTCCGTATCCAGACATTTTTCCTCAAAGATATGGAGTGGAATTTATCGGACATGTGACGTCCGGGGATTTCCCGTGACTTGTTTGCCCGAGATTTACTCTCCCTTTTTTTTTAGACAAGATGTATTACGTAAATAAAGGAGTGTTTCTCTAAGCTAAGAGACGCGGAACATTGTTTTATGTGTCTCGAGGGGTATCGAATGACTTTATTTATTCTCCCGTCAGAGGAGCCGAGCACAAAATCCGTGACTATGAACGGGCACGCTAACTACAACGTGGGCCAGCAAATATTTTATATATACGACAGTCAGTTCTTCAGGCGATTATTATTCGATAAGGACGACTCTCTTGTCTCTCCTGGTACTACGGATACGCACAGGTTACACTCTTACAAACTCACCTGGAACAAGGCCCGCCAGACTTGTATCCAGCAAGGAGGTAAAGAAAATAATTCACGATATACCGTGTACAGTGCCAACTAATAAGTATTCTTCAGCGTCGCCAGCGATCAATTTCGTCGTCAGTGTTTTCTTGACCATACCTGGCATTTCTAATAATACAGAAAATTTATTGCGAAAAATATTACCTCAGCCAGGGTTTGAACCTGGACCTCCCTACACTCTAGGCGGGCCTCTCGTTACATGCCTCGGTGGTCGAATTGGTGAGACGCCCGCCTCGAGTGTAGGGAGGTCCAGGTTCAAACCCTGGCTGAGGTAATATTTTTCGCAATAAATTTGTATTATTAAAAATGCCGGGTGTACGGTCAAGAAAACACTGACGTTGTATACAGTGCCAGCCGGAATTATATCACCCTCCGATTTTTTAGCGTAACTAGTCTCAAAGTGCACGATTGCAAAATTTAAAAATCACACTGTATCTTGTCAAGTTTCATTACCCTTTGTGTACAAGATGCACCTGTTATCAGGTGTCTACTGTAAAATTTTGAGCACACTCGGTGCACTTTGACGAAAGTTATGCTCGAACCTAAAGGTGATATAATTATTGAATATCACGGCTCAATGTTGCACGTCGCTTGTATCGGAAAAATTATTATCGTCGCGATAGTAACGAATGTTGTGTGGAGGATTTCTCATCGTATTTCACACGTGACTAGGTCACTTGGCTGTTATCAATTCGCATTCCGAGGAAAGGATGCTTTCGCGTATGCTGCGAGAGATAAACGCAGACACGGCTTGGCTCGGTCTTCATGATCTTTACGAAGAGGGCGACTGGGTTACCGTCATGGACCAGCCCATAGAGAACACAGGGTACACCGCATGGACAAACAAATGGTCGAACGTACCCGACAACGCTGGTGGCAATCAGCATTGCGCAGTTCTAATTAAGGAAGAGGGAATGGACGATGTCCAGTGTAACTCTATGCATTACTTCTTTTGCGAGATCTCCGCGTAAAATTGTTAAACGTTACGTGGAGAGTTTATCAGTGTGACATACGAAGCGCGTATAAATAAAACTTTGGCCGGCATTCATAGCCCGTTCTTATTTCAAGATCATCCTGAGTGCTGTCTTAAGACGCTAATACGGCTCTGTGATTGGTTTACAACACAGTTAGACTGTACTTAAGGCGATCCTAAGTATAAGAACGGACTACGATTTCCGGCCTTTATCTTGGCATGACTTTTGTATTCTGAATTGATTGCATTTTTAGGAGACATTTCGCCGTCGCATTGGTCTCAAAATACCCGAGTTGAAATTTTGGCTCTATGTTGAACCTTTAATTCTATTATACGGTAGGAACTAAGGACAGTAAAAGAGATCGCACTGCAAGTACAAAATTGACTCCTACTTTAAAACTGATAGTGTCGGAAATTTCTGCTTTTGCCAACTTGGCATTAAAGTAGGTCCTTTTATAATAAGTAGGAGCTGAAGTAAATTTTTAGAATTGAAGAATTCAAGGGAGGAGTAAAAAGATACAATGTCATCAAAGTAGGTTATTGCTGGTCTATGTAGGTGTATAGATCAGCTAAGTAGGTGCCAATTATCTTTGAAAGTGTCAAAATAGTACCAAAATTTCGACTCGGGGTATAGTTTGCGTTATCGCCAGCTCGATTTTCCTCACGCCACACGTCGGGAGCGCGAGGAAGGATTGAATTAATCGCGAAGTGACACGCCGCGAATTTGGTTCAGCTCCCCGTTATTCCCTACTGACATTAGGGGCCTCGTTGAACGATCGGTTTGTCTACGCGACCGGCGGCTGAGGCGCGACGATAGTGCACGGTTGAACCGGCAAGTGTATACCGTTTGAATTACCCGAGCATACAGAATAAGGAAAGTGTCACGCGCGATATTATACAGCCGTGGACACTATTCAGTTTACTTGAATGGCGGGTAATCGGGTTTGCGAATGAAGACGAATGAGCTTCCCTCCTGTGTTCGAGCGACCGTTCGAGATGGAGGGTCGGGATGACTACGTCGAAATTGTTCGCTCGCCGACGGACGTTCTGAAATTTCGCAACGAAATTTTTCATGTATTGCCGTCGGAAAAACTATTGACCGGCGGTCAATATTTCCCCCCCCCCCCCCCGTTCGATTTTTACACGCTTATCAGGCTGCTGTTGATTAATTCTAACGTCTACGTCTATTCCTCGAGTGATTTTCAAGCGTAACAGAATGCGCTCCGTCGAACATCTCGATCATCCTCGTCGATCATCCTCATCGATCATCCTTTCGCTATCTGTCGTTCGGTAAAGCACGTCATACTCGACGAGCATGGTATTCCGTTATCTGTTTATTGCATAAACTAACTTTCGACTTTAGCTCACGCGAGTATCTTATTCGGCGTCCACCGTACATAGCGTTATTGAGTTTTCCGTTCCTTGCCGTGATTTTTCTCTTTCCGCCTTACCTTCGTTCCTTAAAATAATCCGCTTATCCCTGGGACGCGTTTCGCAAAGTCTAGTTTCTGCAGAGTCTCTCCTCTTCGGAGAGAATACAATGTTTCCGACCACCGTAACAAATAAGGCCGACTCGTACGTGACGGTATTGGCAAATGTAGATTCAATAAAAGAGGAGTGACTGGTGTGGCGAGGCGAGATTGAACGTACTCGTAGCTGCTGGCCTAATGGCCTCTGACAGATACATCGCGTATACCGTTTTGCTAAGCGAGAGACGGTGCAAGACAAGTATTAAACGGCGAAGGGGAAGATGATGGCGACGTAAAAGGAGCTCGACATGCTGACGGACACATCGAGTGAATCCCGCTCGCATATTTTTATTCTATAGAAATTATAATGTGGAATATTGTTAAAAAAATATATATATAATAATCATTGTATATAATAATTATAATGATATACAGTGTATCATTATTAATATTATAATATTACATATTTATCATATTTATAACAAATATTATATTATATAATAATTATATTTTATATAATGATGATTATATATATATATATAGTGTATTATAATATTATATTACACATTTTATATGTCTAATACACTGCTGCAATTTACTAAAACGAATCCCATTGCTCATTGTACGAATATAAATTGGGGAAAAGCGTACGTGTTGAAATATCTACTACATTTCGTACAATCGACGAGTTAATTACTGTCACGCATTATCAAGGCGCGTCTATGGAGTATTTGAGGCACTCGGGGAGGGGAGGGGGGGGGGACCGGCGCATAAATCCAAATGCATATTTGAATATATCGGACTGTCAGGGATGTTCCGTGGCGCGCAATTGTGTCTCAATGGAGATTCATCCGCGCGACCGCGGAACCGCAAATGGAAAACCGTCGTAAAAAGCATTTCAACCTCCGTACCTGCATGCTCTCCCGATGTATCGATTGGCGCGCGGTGAATCGGCGAGCGCGATTCCTTCCACCGCGTTCTGCATATTGCCCGCGACCCGAAGACAGAAATTTCTCTCCGACAGGGCGGAAGCGGGGCGGCGCGGCCCATTCTCATTTCTTACGTGTTTCCGCACCGATTCGCGGGACGCGGATGCCTCGGGGCGAAGTCCCGATCGGTGGACTCGCGCCAGCACTTATCCCCTTCACGTCGGAAGCCCGTTTCCCCCCCCCCCCTCCCCTCGTCTCTCCGAGCGAGCACGCCGGGACCCGTAAACCGCTTTGCGAGGATCCGCTGTAAAATCGCGCGACGTGGACACGGAGGGAGCGGGCGAGAGATCGATTCGAAGCCAGGAATCCGGGACGACTCCATGAAACTCAATGAAATCGACTGCGCTAATGTGGCGAATAAGCGAACGTTAACGTCCACGGTGATATCGCGTTAGGTCAGCCGGCTGACGATCCGGCCAGGTCTCTCGACTCTTCGTCGCCCGTGCGATTAACCCCTAAGTGCGCGGCTTTGCATATATGCAAAGCGACTTTTCCGCGCACTCTCCTCTATGAAGTTCAAACTGAAGGCGCGCGGCTCTTTGCACGTCTGTGAAAAGGCCTCCCTCTGGCGCTTCTGGGTCTTCCTCTCTGTTCTGAGTGAGTCCCAAGTCCACAATAGGCGACTTAAACCCTACACTGACAGGAAAAAATGGCAGCAGTTACCACAATCTCACTAGAATTTGTAGTCATTTTAGGAGCCAACCACATTTTTATAATTCTTCCAACTACGTAAGTTATGGCTGACCTAACAATGTATTATAGTTCTCTTAGACACAATATTGGTCCACGCAACTTATTGTACGGTTGCCATAAACCGAAACGAGCTTTTTAATTCGGCAAGGTGTACTATAAATATTGCGATAACAACCACAAGTAAAATTTCGAATGTCTATATGTAATAGTAATAATCTTATTTATATTGGAACTAATATTCCCCGCTTTTTATTGCATATGCATTGCGTTTACTCTGTTCATTGGTTACGTCACTTTGCACTCGTAAAGAATAGTAGAAGAAAGCCTCTTTCAAAGAAAAGATAAGTAATCTTATACGAATGCATAAACTTATCCGTATTTTTAACACCCTATGCGGCTTTCTTCTCACGAGAAAGTCTTGTACCGCGCTTAATTACTATAAAAATGATATTCCTGACTATAATTATTTTACTATGCAATTATAGTTTCAAATACTACATATTTTTCTATCAGTGCACGGCTCTAAGGCACTGGCCAATCACAGTCGAGTAGTCCTCTCATTTTCGACTGCGACTGGTCAAATTCTCGGGGCTCGGCGCTTAAATCATCTATTGTAGATTGCGACTGAGAAGTTCTTACGGGTAGAGTCCCTGTAGTAAAGCCCATCACACAATGCAAGGCAACAGGAACAGGGAATAGAATTTCTAACGCGTTGGATTGGTTGGAAGAAAATTTCCGACGAATCCAACGCGTCAGAAATTCTATTCCCTGTTCCTGTTGCCTGGCATTGTGTAAAGCCTATAAGAGTCTGGCAAGGGTTGACGCAAAATGGCGTCTGGTCTGTTATCGCTGCATTACTGCACTAGTGCAGTTAGTTAATTGCACTAGTACAGTAATGCAGCGATAACAAACAGACCAAAGGTAACCAAATCATAATAATAATAATAATCCCGCGTTCAAAGTACAGATTCGAGACACCTTATTGGTTCCGCCATTTTGCGTCAAACCAATCAAACGGAGAATATTTCTTGCCAGACTCTTACTACAGGGACTCTACTTACGGGGTCCCTCCGAGGCGGAAGATTCAAATTAGCGTAGAAGAATTTTCTAAATATTTTTCCCAGGATTCCCCGAGCAGCCGTTGTTCATTTTAAAAGGTTTCCGGAATGCTACGAAAAGTCGCGCGTTTAAGGGTCAAAGCTGGCCAGATTGCGCGATTCGCGACGACTACGCAATTGATTTCGTTATAAAAAAAAAAATCGCCTCGGTGGCGAATTGGCACGAATGGTAAACAACGGATGCAAATCCGACGGATATGTTTTATTCACGCCGTTCGCGAGTTTCGTGGCGAGTTGCGAATCTCGCGAGCGCGCGCACAGTTCGCACGCGTGGCCTGGCGCTAGGCGTGGGAGACCCGCGGCAGCGTTCGCTGTACAAATAAGGAACCACTGGCAAATGAAACAATTGTACTTATATATCGCGGTGAAATTACGCTCGTTCTGGAAACCCAGTTGTGCATTCGGCACGAGAGTGCCCGGTCGGAACAGCGCGCCCCTTCCCTCCCTCTTACGCTTTGACGGACTGATTCTCCGGGAAAACGCTCGCGACGCGACGCGACGGGTGGCGGCTCTCTGCCTGTGACAGACGCCTAGCTGTTCGACTCCCGACTCGCCATTTTCGCGATTCGGGTCGGTACGCCGGCGTCGCCACGCTCAGGCTTTTGTCGGGACAGTGGGGTCGGGATCGGCGAAGAGCCCGAATGCACAATGTTGAGCCGCGAGGATTTTGCGAGGAAATTCGGAAGAGGCGAAATCGATATTCCGGAGCGGCGCGGCGCGGGATCCGCGCAAATTCCGCGAGCCGGGGATCGCGCGTGGATTTCCTAACGAGCGGGAAACCACCGCTCGCGGCCTCCTCCCCCGGACAGGGCTCTACATCCATCCGCGGCGTAATGTAACACCCCGTACGTTTCCTCCGAAGGCCCGCGACGCCGCCGCCGCCGAGGCTCCGATTCAAATGCGCGCGAGGACGCCCGGAAAAGCGCGCGCCTCGCACGTCGATAGACGTGCGCG